CTGAGGGTTGAGATGATGGAGGCAGGAGTAAAAGTGACCCCAGGACAGGCCTGGGGACGCACGTGACTCTCCTCTAGGGGCACTGTGTCCATTTCACAGGATGTTCTTAAGACCCTTCCCCAACCATCAAGGCTGCAGGACATAGAGCTGATGCTGGAGAACCCAGGCTGTAGTGAGCTATTTTGGGGCACAACCTCCTTTCCCCCAACTGGGCTTTCCCTTGCAGCAGAAGCTACCTGAAGGCTCTTGGCCTGTCCTGGCAGCAGCCTGCAGGTGAATCTGTGTGCAGGCAGCTGGGGTTCCCAGGAGCTGGGGTCTTGACCTCTGTGGCGAATGCTGGGCCCACTGGAGACATGAGGAAGATGGTTGATTTTCTGCCACACCTCACAGCTTGGCTGGAGCAATGCTGTCCGCTCTGTCGTACTAATAAGAAACAAACACATTGTTTTGTTGTGTTTGATTTCTGTGTTAGGCTGGAGCCTTCAAGGGCTGTTTAAAATTTAATAAGTGAGAATAAAATGAGGAGGAAAAAAAATATTCCTCTGGGGCATCTGACTGCATCAGACTTGTTAATTCCAGCTCTGCGTTTCCAGGGGTTAATAGCTGACCCAGCAGCGGGGAGAGTGCCCACACATCTTCCACCAGGGTTCAGGGCTGGTTCCACTGTCTGTTCTGGGAAAAGACCCACCTTAGGAGGGCCACCTGATCATGCCTCAGGTGGAAGCCTAGGTGGCAGCTCAGGGAAGGAGTATTTCCAGGGACCTGGGAACAAATTTTGTTCCCTCTTCTTCAAATTCAACACTATTTTATTAAGCACTTACTGTATGTCAGATAGTGTTAGGTGCTGGGCTGGAGAGTTGAAAAAGGTGTGAACTGTGCTTAGAAGGCAGAGAATGGAGTCAGGCAATGTACAGGGCTGTGTGAGTGGGTTCAGGGTACAGGAGGAAACAGCAGAGGTTCTTGGAGAGTCCCAAATAGAGACCAAGGACATATCCCCTCAGCTGCTGGGAGCTGGGAGGGCCTTCAGCCGTGGGCGCCCTGTGGAGGTGCCTATCTCTGGGGAGAGCCGTCTGGTCCCAGATAATGCTTCTTCTCAGGGTAGCCACATCCAATGACTGATGGATTGTGTGTATGAAGGCCCAACCCCGTGCCCCAACTTGGGACAGTTGAAGGGTCATCTGAGTCACAGAATCCCTGTGAGATCAGCTGAGGCCTCTTGGGGGGCTGTATCACAGCTCAGCATCTCCCTCGGCCCACTTCTCCTCCCTTCTCTCCCACAGGTGTTGATTGGGAGAGCATCCTCTAATAAACCTCCCGCATGTTCACCTCTGTCTCCAGCTCTGCCTCCTGGAGAACTAGCCTGCAGTCAGACCTAATGTGGTGAGCATTGTTCAGGGAGGGCTTCTGGAAGAAGCGACTTTCAGGCTGAAATCTGGAAGATGAGTAAGAGTCAGTCTGGTGACAGCTATGAGTCTGGAGGGAAATGGTATTGTTTCCAGGTAGAAGAAGAGAATGTGTACGGAAAGGCATGCCCAGGTGGGATGGCAAAGCAGGAGGCTGGGGGCTGGACATTTCATAGGGCTCTGTGAGCTGTGACGGTGGCTTGGGTTTTATTCCAAGGGCATGGTGATGCCATAGCAGGGTTTTAAATAGGGGTTGACACATGACGTGGTTGAAATGTTTTCTTAAGAACTTGAGTTGAAGAAGGTAAAAACAAGTAAGGAATCCAGCTAAGAAGGCTGTTGTGATAACTCAGAAGAGAGATGATGATGGTCTGAATTGAAGTAGCTGGAGAGAGGTACATGGATTTAAGAGATATTTACTTAGAAGGAAGAATCAATTGTCAGAACTGATGATGGATAATACATGGAAGGAGAGACAGGAGGCAAGGATGATATTTGGGTTTCTGGCTTCAGTAACTGTAAGATGCCACCACCATTCAGTGAGATGGGGAGCAGGTGGAGAAGTGGGTTTGGGAAGAAGGTGATGGAGGGAAAATGTGTGTAGTTCAGGAGTGTTAAATTTGAGTTGTCTTTGGGATATTAGAGAACAGAGCTAAGACATCTAGGCATGTGGATATAAGGCTTAAGAGAAAGAATGAAGTTATTCATCTGTTGAGAGTTGGACCATAAAGAAGGCTGAGCACCAAAGAATTGATGCTTTCAAATTGTGGTATTGGAGAAGACTCTTGAGAGTCCCTTGGACTTCAAGGAGATCAAACCAGTCAATCATAAAGGAGATCAGTCCTGAATATTCATTGGAAGGACAGATGCTGAAGCTTCAATACTTTGGCCACCTGACACAAAGAGTCAACTCGTTGGAAAAGACCCTGATGCTGGGAAAGATTGAGGGCAAGAGGAGAAGAGGGGTGACAGAGGATGAGATGGTTGGATGGCATCACTGACTCAATGGACATGAGTTTAAGCAAACTCAGGGAGATAGTGATGGATAGGGAAGCCTGGCGTGCTGCAGTTCATGGGGTCACAAAGAGTCGGACATGACTTAGTGACTGAACAATAACACCACCACCACCACCACCTATTGCTTATGGTAAATTGCCCTCAGTTTGATGGCTTAAATAATAATAAATATTTATTATTTCAGTTTCCATGAATGAAGAATTGAGCAGTGCCTTAGCTTGGAGATTTCTCACTGGGTGGTAGGCAAAATGCTGCTCAGGGCTGTGGTTATATGGAGTTTCAACTTAGGCTGGAGGATGTGGTTCAAGATGGCTGTCAAGTTGGTGCTCTTGGCAAGAGGTCAGAAATTCTCATCATATGGAGCTATCCATAGGTGGAGGTTTGAGTGTCTTCACAACCAGAGAACTGAGAGCAAAAGATCTAAGAGCAAACGATCCCTCAGAGCAAACGATCTAAGAAAGCAGGGCAGAAATGGCAATGTCTTTATTGATCTGTCCTCAGAATCACACACCATAACTTCCCACATCCTAATGGTCACACAGACTGACCTTGATATACTGATGGAGAGGACTGCACAGGGTGTGAATATAGGACTCAGTGGCCATTGGTGTCTTCTTTGAGGCTGCCTACCACAACTCGAGATATAGAGACTTGAAAATCATTAGCATTTAAATGATATTGAAAGTCTTGGTAATGAAAGAGATTGCTTGAGAGATGTGTGCAGAAGGAAAAGAGGAGGATTTAAGGACCATGTCCTGAGAGACATTGGCCTTTAAGGATAAGCAGAGAAAGAGAAGCCAGCGAAGAGACTGATGAAAAGCATAACCATATGTCCTGGTTTGCCAGTGGTTAGTTCTGCTTTATGCCTGTTGTGTCCACATGATAGTTTACTCTGCCCCTTACACTTTCTCAAGGGCCCTGGGTTAGATGAAACTCACATGGTCACCCTATGATAGCAGGCAGCCAGAGCAGCAGAGGAAAACCAGGAGGAGCCAACATCATGATGAACACTGGATTTCACAACAAAGAGGTCCCTGGAGACTTCGGCAGCAGATAATTTGAGTTGTGAGCATGCAACCTGGGTTTTGGAGGGTAAGCAAAGTAAGTTATTTTAGTAGTGTTATTTTCTAGAGACTTAATGAAAAAATGAAGGGACAAAATGGATTTTCAGAGTATGGGTAAGAGAGAAATTTTCTCTGAAGATGTCAGGCACTAGACTATGTATAATTGATGAAGAAAAGGCTCAGTAGAGACGGAAAATTTTTTATTTTTTTAACACCCAGGTTCTCCAGAGCAGGGAAATAATCTGGAAGAGAATTCTGGAGAACTCAGCATCTCAAAAATTAAAACCAAAATGAAGGTGCAGCAGCTGATAGTAAGGAATGATAGCCTCTCAGATCTCTGACATTCCCAGGCATTCACTGGGCTCTGTCTGGTGATCCGAGCTCTGTCTGGTGATCTGGTGGGCTTTCTGGTCTGGAAAGCCATGTGATCTGGCACTAGAGGTGTTTCTGGGTCTTGTCAGCTACCATACTTCCCGCCTTCCTTGGAAAGGCTGCTTCTTTCTAAGATTCTGGGGCTGCTTTGGCTTCTGCGCTGGCAGGGGAGCAGCAGGACTCTGCAAAAGGGGATCGCATGATGTAGGGATGTTGGAGATGCCTCAGTTTGTATGAGCTGCAGAATACCCTCACCCACAATCATGATAAGTGACTTCCGGAAGCCTGGCTCCCATTGTCCTAGAGAGCTCAGGCAGGGGTATTTGCGTGTTTGTGTTAGTCGCTCAGTCTGTCTTTGTGACCCCATGAACTGTAACCTGCCAGATTCTTCCGTCTGTGGAATTCTCCAGGCAAAAATTCTGGAGGGGGTTGCCATGCCCTCCTCCAGGGGATTTTCCCAATCCAGGGACTGAACCTGGGTCACCTGTATTGCAGGCAGATTCTTTATGGCCTGAGCCACCAGGGAAGCCCAGGGACATTTGGAGGCCCTTTATAACGAGTTGACCCAGGAAAGAGAGAAAGGATTCTTTGTCATAGAAAGGCCAGGATAATTGCTTCACAAGGAACAGTGGTCCAAGTCCCAGAGCTAAAATGAATATATGAGTTTCGAAAAAAGAAAAAACAAAACAACAAATTCTTGTGAGCCAGGTGTGTCTCCCCCTCAGAAAATCGAGAGGAGGCTGGCTGTAGCTGGCTCTGGAGGAGGAAGTCCTTAGTGCCTTTGAAGCACCCACATCGCTCCCTCCACCCAGGAAACAACAGCTGCTCTGACCACCCCTCAACCCCCACCGAGAGAGAAGCTCACACGACTTTGCTGACCTCCAGCCCCTATCAGAGACCCGCACAAGAACGCATTCAGGGCGAAGCCGCCATTTCTCTGTGGAGGAGAATCCTGAGGAGAGGCGGGCAGTGGTGATGAAAGAGGGCTGGGGAGGGAGCGACAGCTAGGAAAACCTTGAAAGGTGAGGTTTGTCCTCGCCGCCCACCATGTGGTACGGGGGTAGAGTCTCCTCGCCAGTCCTCTGACTCTATCACGGTGCTCTCTGGAGCCCTCCATGCGCGGGGAGACTGACTCTGTGACGGAATGGAGGCCAGCCGGGTGGGGCATTCGCAGACCCCGAGCTCCTGGAGTGAGCGAGGGGCGGCACCTGAGTTGGCCCAGCCGGGTGGGACCCAGCGCGGGCTGCAGGCGCAGACGTCTCAGCCCTTAGCGTTCGGGCGGGCGGGTGGTGGCCGCGCAACGCGGGGCTGCCGCCCGGAAGCCCCCTGCAGCCTCTTTCCGGCAGGGAGCCGACTCTTCCCGGCAACCTGATAATTTAAAAACAAATTGATATGCTATAATTGCAAATGTCTGGGTTGTCTGGCCTTGACAGGAATCGTCTGAAAGCAAACAGTCTGGTCCAGCCGAGGGCGAGGGAGGTGTTTTCTGACAAACGCGCGCTGCTAACAGAAGGATCCCTCTGCATCCTGAGTCCTTCCCTGTTTTATGGCAGGATGTAAATTCTGCATCGGGGATTTTTTTTTTTTTTTTTTATGATTCCTTTTCTTGACGTGTGGATTCTGAATTTAATTTCTCCCCAGAGAGGCGCCGGAATCATCCAGCCGTCCTCCTCGTCAAAGTTATGGGCAATTTGACCTGCCATTTAGCTATTTCCTGGAGCCGGTTGAGTGGTTCTTAGGGCCGTTTCTGCCTTGAAGACAACACAGGGTATGTTATAACCCATGCAGATGAGGGCTCGGGACCACTGGCTTGAGAATTAACAAATGTTAATTCTGCCTCAGCTGATGGCTGAAGGTTTCAGCAAGTTCACAGACCTTAACTGGAGGCAGGGGTTCCTTCCCCATGTGACCCATTTAGTTTAAAGGGCAAGGGGTTGAATAGGCAAGTCAGAGAGAACAAACCAGAAAGAACAGCATATTACAGAGAAAATTCCAGAAGCCTGAGTAGGTTCCACAGCTCTCTTCTGCATCCATACTGATAGGAAGATGTGAACTGACCCTATGTGTAGTATGCTCCTGTAATGTGATTTATGATAAGAAGTGCCTTGTTCCTGTTCTTGGCCCAGAGCAACTAAAAGCCTTCGTATTTCCTCAGCGATGAGTTATAAATGAAAAAGAGTCTTTTGTTATTCATAACAAGCCCCCCTTCAATCACACCTGAGTTTATGTTATGGGGTAATTTTTGAATGGCCCTTAGATATCACAGGATGGGAACTGGTTGCCAGGGAACCGACCAAGTGATTAGTGGCCTGGAACTTTCAGCCCTACCCCCCATCTCCCAGTCTCTGGGAAGGGGGAGAGAGGGGCTGGAGGTGGAATCAGTTGTCAACAGACAATGATTTAATCAGCCATACCTACCCAGTGAAGCCTCCATAAAAATCTCTGAAGTATGGAGGGACTTCCTGGTGGCCTAGTGGTTAAGAATCCACATTCCCAAAGCAGGGGGCACGGGTTCATTCTCTGGTCTGGGAACTAAGATCCCGCATGCAGCAAGAGGTGGCAAAAAAAAAAAAAAAAAAAATTCCTAAAGTATGGGATTCAGAGAGCTTCTGGGTTGGCGAACAAGTGGAGATGCCAGGAGATGGCACACCTGGAGAGGACGTGGAGGCTCTGGGCCCCTCCCCTATACTTTGCCCTACACTTCTCTTCTATCTGGCGATTCCTGAGTTACATCCTTTTATACAAAAATGGTGATCTAGTAAGTATGCTGTTTTCCGGAGTTCTAGAAGCTGCTCTAGCAAATCAGTTGAACCCTAGGAGGGAGTCAAGGGAAACTGTGATTTATAGCCAGCCTGTCAGAAAGCACAGATGACTTGTGATTGGGGCTTAAAGTGGGGTGTGTGTGTGAGGTCTTGTAGGAATGAACCCTTAACCTGTGGAATCTGATATTGTCTCCAGCTAGTGTCAGAACTGAGTTAAATTGTGGGACACCCAGCTGGTGTCTGAGGATTGCCTGGTGTGGGACTTTAGTGGCCAGAGATATTGTGACTTCTTCCTTTCTAGCTTTAAAAAAATATTATTATTATTTTTTAAAAAATATTTACTTATTTACTTATGTGGCTGTGTCGGGTATTAGTTGCTGCACAAGGATCTTTCTTGTGGCCTGTCTTGCTATATCTCACTGTTCACTGAACCCAGGGTAGGCAGGGTATGAGCGGGAAGCTGGAATTGTGAAAACTCAAGGAGCCATAGGAACTGCAGGCATATTTATTCTCTCCTGACTGGCACAGTGGCTGTGGCAGCAGCAGACATGCTGTATTCTCCTCTTGTGGTTGACCCAGCAGGCACAGCCCTGGAGCAAGGGCTTTTTCAGGTGGAGCTTATATATGTTTACGGAACAAGAGCTGCCCATGGCCAAGCGGGTGCATGTGTGCATGCTCAGTGCACTGTGATCTCAGATGTTACATAACCATATATTTACACAATGTGGGGCGAGAGAGCCTGACCACCACCATCTTGGCTAATTTGCTCTTTCTCTATATGGCCCAAGAGCTTCTCTCTGGTTGTGGTGTGGGCTCCTGAGCACATAGGCTCAGTAGCTGTGGCACACAGGCTTCATTGCCCTGTGGCTTGTTCCCTGACCAGTGATTGAACCCGTGTCCCCTGCATTGAAAGGTGGATTCGTAACCACTGGACCACCAAGGATGTCCCTCCTTTCTAGCTCTTAACGTCACTATGTGTCAAACACTCATGGAGTGCCCATGGTAAGGCAGGTGCTGGAGTTGGAGTAGGCTTTTTTCTGAGGAGTGGTGAAATGAGCCCATTTCAACCCAGTATGGTTAAGTGCCAGCATAGAGGCTTTGTTGTTCTTGTTCAGTCACTCAGTCATGTCTGACTCTTTGTGACCCCATTGACTGCAGCACACCCGGCTTCCTGGTCCTTCACCATCTCCTGGAGTTTGCTCAAGCTCATGTCCATTGACTCGATGATGCCATCCAATCATCTCATCCTCTGTCACCCCCTTCTCAGCATACAGGCTTAATTCAGTGTTTTGCTGGAGCTGGAGAGAGAGGAACGTTTAATCATAGTGGTTGATGTTTGTTGAGTTGCTACCATGCAACACTTATTATGCTAAATGTATTCCCTGCATTGTCTCATGTAGTACTCACATCAACCCTAGGTGGCAGGTATTATTCAGATCATTTTACAGATAACAAAGCTGGAAATTAGAGAAGTTAAGTAACTGGAGAAAAGGGGGTGGTAAGAGGCAGACTGGAGTTCAAAACTGGGTCTGTCTGATACTCTTAACCACTGTTGCTTCATTTTCCATCTCCCTGGCCTGCGGGGGTCAGAGAAGCCTTCAGAAGCCCTGAGGTGAAGTCAGGGCAGGATCACCTTGGTATTGGCCAGGGTAGGGTGGTCTGAGGGTTATCTGCTCTGGGAGGGAGGGGTAAAGGGGGACTGAACTTGACCTCTGCCCCAGAGCTGCTGTCCTTCTCTTCCCAACCACTCTTCTAGGCTCCAGAATAAGAAACATCAGAAGCCTCAACAGGAGACTGCAAATTCTTGGTGATTTAATTGGAGCGTTTTGCTGCTCTTGAAACCAGCTGGAGAGAAGGAGCAAGCAAAGAGCTTGAAGAGCTGGTCTTTGAGTCAGAGCTAAGTATAGCATAGCCAAGTGCTTCATCTCCCCACTCACCATATCGCTGTGGTTTTGAAGGAGGTTGGTTCCGGGGAGAAAATATTTAAGGCTGAAGAAATAGAGTTTTCTTCAGTTTGTCTTCTGTGTAAATAAGAGGGATGCAAAGCACAAATGTTACGCTGGTTCTTATTGATTAACATGCCAACAAGTTGAACAGTTTTTCAGCTGTCCAGCTTTGCCTCTTCTCACGGCCGCTCTGCGGGCGCTGGGGGGCCACTGCGGGGAGGCCATGCCCGAGGCAACCAAGCTCCCATCCTGGCCCCTGGTTCCCAGGATGCCACCTCTTTCTCTGGGTTTCACTGGTACCCTCTTCAGGCTGTCTCTGTATCCTGTCTTTCCTCATTCACGTCTCTCTTTCTTTGAACTCTCTATTGGTCTTTCCCTCTTCCTGTGTTTTCACTTGAGATCCCACACTGAACACATAGACCCAGAGCTCAAGGAGTTTGTAATCTGGACTTTCCAGATCGTTCAGTGCTGCCAGTGGCTGGTGAGGCTGGTGGCTGTCAGATCTGCGTTGGTTGCTGTCACCCCTCGGATTTGAGAAGGAAAGAGAGGCAGTGCTTTTGGTGACCTATGTTCTCAGGAACATAAAACCTTGGTAACTGCTTCATGCTAGGCCAGGCGTCTCAACCTGAGGTCTGTATGATCTCAAGGGAGATGAATAGAGAGCAACTTTCTAAATATATGTGTCTATGTGCATTTAGGGGGAAGTTTCATAGTGTTCACTGAGTTCTCAAGGTTGGCTATGAGCCAAATCATGTACGAACAACCATCCTGCAAGTGCGGCCCCAGTAGGGAGGCTCAGGCACTAAAGGGTGAGTCAAAATGCAGCTCAGAACATGGACTGTAAGAGGGTCTTCCCCTCCACCAGACACCTTATTTACCTTTTCAGAGCAAAACTAAAGGAAGAAACCAGTAGTTACATTTGACCCTTCAAATCTATCTTTAATAAAAGATCATTTCATTTGTACTTGGTCTTGTTTGGGGTTGATTTGCAAAGATACTAAATTATTAGATTTTAATATGTACTTAAAAGAGCAGATAGAGGAAGAATGAGATTATTATTGCTTTATCCTTTGATATATCCTAAAACTGTAGAGTTGGAATGGCGCAAAAAGTTCATGTCGTCCACCTGAAAGCCCCAACCCTCATCCAGAATCTTCATCCAGAAGATTTTCTCCAGAAAGCCTCATCCAGAATCTTCTCTATACCACTCCCATCAAATGGCCATTTAGCCTCTTGCAGGAAGAGAGAATGGTTTGTTCACTTATCCATTCATCTCCTCAACTGCACACTCTCATATGCTGTGTACTCTGCTAGGTTCTGGAAAGATGAGAAATAACAGCCTTGCTGGTTCTTAAGGAGCTTACAGTCCAGCTATCTAGAGAGGCAGACACTGGATAGTGATGAAGAATGTTAGAGCAGGGACAACTCTGAGGCTAATGGGGATCACTCTGGTCAGTGGGTGGTGGTGCTTATAGAAGGCATTTCCAGAGAAAGTAGTATCCAAGCTGAGCTGAGAGGGAAGGGGGAGCTGGGAAGATGGAGGAAGATTGGGTTGAGGGAGTGCTATAGGCAAAAGCAGTGGCACAGTCAAGGATCTAAGAATGACAGAGGAGGAGCAAGGCTTAGTGGAGAAAGTGAGAGGCCATGATCGGAACAGAAAAAGA